ATCTATTTTAGTTCAATAAAAAATGCAGTCCCACATCATTTACAAAACAAATATTATGTTTTTGCAAATGAACTATCATGGGGAGGCTGCTTTTCAGATTCATGCTGCTAAAATCTGGAACAGTCTTCCTGAAGATGTGAGACAGGCCTCCTCTCTGACAATGTTTAAAACCAGGTTAAAGACAGTTCTGTTTAGCTGTGCATACAACTGATTTTATATGTTTATATTTCTTTTTAATGTTCTGTGATTATTTATGATTTTAATGCTTTCTTGTTTTGTTCAGCACTTTGAGTTGCCTTGTGTATGAATTGTGCTATATAAATAAACTTGCCTTGCCTTGCTGTGGGTGATTAATAACATCAAAACTCCACAAACAGAAGAGAGGTGAGATAAAGAACCTTTTCGTTCTTCCTGATTTTGCTATTCACCGTTGTCCCAGTGTGTGTTTCATGCCGTGATTATGGGACCCCTGAATCCAGCCTACTCAGTCCAGGTTCTCTAGCCTGAGTCCTGGATCTACAGCCTCAGTCCTGGATCTACAGCCTCAGTCCTGGATCTACAGCCTCAGTCCTGGATCTACAGCCTCAGTCCTGGATCTACAGCCTCAGTCCTGGATCTACAGCCTCAGTCCTGGATCTCTAGCCTCAGTCCTGGATCTACAGCCTCAGTCCTGGATCTACAGCCTCAGTCCTGGATTTACAGCCTCAGTCCTGGATCTACAGCCTCAGTCCTGGATCTACAGCCTCAGTCCTGGATCTACAGCCTCAGTCCTGGATCTACAGCCTCAGTCCTGGATTTACAGCCTCAGTCCAGGTTCTCTAGCCTCAGTCCTGGATCTACAGCCTCAGTCCTGGATCTACAGCCTCAGTCCTGGATTTACAGCCTCAGTCCAGGTTCTCTAGCCTCAGTCCTGGATCTACAGCTTGTCAGTCTCTCTCAATGTGAGCCTGCCTGAGGTTTTTCACTTTTTTCCCACTGGGTTTTTTTTTTTTTTTTTGACTGGTTCCTTGTTGATGTAGGAAGGTCTAAGGAGAATAATGATCCGTGACATTTGTGGACATCATCATCCTGTGTAGGGGTGGGAATCTTGGGGCACCTCACGATTTGATTATGATTCAGAGGCAGCAATTCGATTATAAAACGATTATTGATGCATTTGTAATATATATACATATTGATGCACATTTTCCATTTTAGTTAAATTCATTTCAATTTAATTGTATTACTTTTATGAAAATATCCATTGGAATGGGAATGCACAAACTCAAACTTCAGTTCGACAACTTTGTAAAGTCTTCCGAGATGACTGCTCTAATAATACAGGGCTACACAAATAAATGGAATTGAATAGAACATGTTTGTTGATCATAGACTGGAGTCGCGATCACAGACTTGGCCTCGTTTCCAAAACAGACAGAATGTTGTTTCCTTCTATCTGCTGCAGCGTTTGGGGACGTCTGTTTTATTCACAGTGTTTGTCAGATCAATGAAACCACGACTCGCTGACGTGAGCCTCATCTGCCCACGCTTTAATGCAAACACTAAATCAGGAAAACATCTCTCTCTGGTCACTCTCTGGTCTGACTCTAGTCTGACTCTGGTCTGACTCTGGTCTCACCCTGGTCTCACTCTGGTCTCTCTCTGGTCTCTCTCTGGTCTCTCTCTCTGCTCTCTCTCTGCTCTCTCTCTGCTCTCACTCTGGTCTCACTCTGGTCTCTCTCTCTGCTCTCTCTCTGCTCTCTCTCTGCTCTCACTCTGGTCTCACTCTGGTCTCTCTCTCTGCTCTCTCTCTCTGGTCTCACTCTGGTCTCTCTCTGGTCTTTCTCTGGTCTTTCTCTGGTCTTTCTCTGGTCTCTCTCTCTCGTCTCTCTCTCTGGTATCTCTCTGGTATCTCTCTGGTCTCTCTCTGCTCTCTCACTCTCTCTGGTCTTGTCCTCTGGTCTCGCCCTCTGGTCATGCTCTCTGGTCTCTACCTAATCTCTCTATGGTCACTCTTGAGTCAGCTCTGGTCTCTCTCTTGCTGATATCTCTCTCTTCTTCTTCTAGATGGATCATTTAGACCAGGGGTGGCCAACCCGCGGCTCGTGAGCCGCATGCGGCTCTTTGGCTGGTTCCGTGCGGCTCTCGGGCTTTCACACGACAAGCGTCAAAAACGCCTCGGTGGTGGCGCTGCCATTCATTCTCTATGTAGTTCTGACCCATAGTAAAGGCAGACTTCACTCCACTAGCCAGGCCACCAAAACAATCTGACGTCGGCGAACGTCTATTCTGATTGGTCAGTCACTCTGCGGCTGCTGCCTCAGCTGTTGCAAATATCATAACAAACAACACGTTGCCTCGACCCATGGCGTCCGTACGGAAAACAGTTCCTTGGTCGCTGGATGAGGGCAACACCTTCCTCAGTTTGAGGAGAGGACACCAGCGTGAGCTCGATGGTTCCACCAGAAACCAGAAGGTGTTTGTGGAGCTAGCACTAAGGACGGAGCAGAAGGATTCCCACGAACATCACAACGCAGAGAAAAGTTAAAAAGCTTAAAAGTGACAACCGTGAAATGAAAGATCACAGCAGCAGAAGTAGAGGCAGACCCGAAAAGTCTGGAGGTGGTTTGACCAAATGGATTAAATTTACGGACATCGACGAACACCGGCTAACATGCTAAAACCAGCTAACAACAGCTAGCATTACACCAGGAGAAAAGCCAACTCTGCCTGGTGAGTGTCTGTCTACAATCAAATGCAAAAGTATCTGGTCTTATACTGAGCATGTGTCTGTGGTTCTAAATCAGCTAAAGTGGTGTTGGTGTTATGTGTCAAATCTATATCTTTTACTAAACGCAGTCAGAGACTGAATCATGGTTCGATAAAGACAGTTGTGTTTCTGCTGAATACTGGGTTGAAACTCGATTTTTTTTCTTGGTTAGAGATTGAAAGCATTCATTTCGGAATCATAATTGATGTTCGCTGACGTGAGATTGTTCTGGTATCGACTCGCCCGGTTAGAACCAGGGCCAAACCATTAATAAAAAGTACCGGGGAGCGGCTAAAGCGAGCGGTAGAAGCGCCCGCAAACCAGGGAGAGTCGAGTCCAGCCCTTTAGTACTGTACGAGTCAATTTCTGTCATTATCATGTTGATGACATTTACAATACATCTATCTGAGCAGAGCACACCTCTCTCTGCTCAGACAGATTGCATGTGTGTGCGCGTGTCTGCTCGTGTGCGTACGTGCGCGTGTGCGTGTGTAAGGGTTGGGGTGATGTTTATGTAATGCACATTTGTATGATGTGGCTCTTTGCTGTAATACAGTAAAAAAATTGGCTCTTAGTCTCTGACTGGTTGGCCACCCCTGATTTAGACTATTGGTCCTTCTAATTGTCAATCATTCTGGTGTTATGAGAGACACATTTTAAAGCTTTCACTTTGAGGAGGCCGGTTCTCTCTTAAAATTCGGGAAAATCCTCCTATATACCTTTGATAATGTCCCAGTCTCAGGTGGAGATGCAGATTCCACACTATTCTGAAGATAAACACAAACATCAATACTCTACGATCAGATAATAACCCCTGGCTCTCTCTAAAACTATAGTGGCCGAGTCCAAATGCTATTATTTACCCAACAATATCCCAAAAAGCTGGCTTCAGTTTCTGCATCACAGGTATTGCCTTCTGAGTGAGGACCACCCTCATTCAGCCAATAAGGCGTCAGCCAAAAAGGTCCAACAGTGACTCACAGCGCTCTTTCTTACACAAAAGACTTGTTTTTCTAGTATGTTTGATTTTAAGGTTTAACCCAACTCTATTGCTTCTCTGTATGAAAATCTGCAGGTAAATATTTTCACGTCTTGTTTCGAGGGGTTGTTTGTAACTGTGTAATGTGTGCTGCAACACTGACATTTCCTCCACAGAGGGATACATAAAGGTGATTTTATCTTATTAGTTATTAAAGCTGGGGTACATAACTTTTGCATGTTTTTTGACAAATATTAGACCAAAACATGCTGTCTGTGTCGTCTTTGAGTAGGAAGTAGCTCTGTGAAAAACGAAATGCCTCTTTGGGCTGAGAGGCAGATTGGAATGAGGGTTTGTCCATGTTTTTTTCCACTTTTCTGTCTAAAAAAGCCGGTCAAGATGTACATTTGTGACAGTGACCTAAAACACATACAGTACATTAAAACCAAACACAGAAGCAAACTGTTTAAGAGCCAAAAACAAGTGAAAAGGACTTTGATACGAAGTTTATGTTTTTGTGTTTTTTTTTTTTGTAGTTCAAAAGTTATGCACGCTTTAATTTATTTGATCAAAAAAGAATAATGTGTACAGGTCTCTGCTCTGGCTTCATGTGGCTCAGAGAAGATACTTTAAAGCTGCTCTGCTTGTTACAAGTCTCTCCATGGCCTCGCACCAAAGCCACATCTGAGACATGTTAGCGCCATACGAACCAACACGGACTCTGAGGAGCACCGGGACTAGCCTCCTGCTGGTGTTCAGAGTCAGGACCAAGGGAGCACAAATCTAGAACAGTCTTCCTGAAACTGTGAGACAGGCTTTTACTTTGACAACGTTCATATCCAGGTTAAAATCAGCACTGTTTTGCTGTGCAGGTAATGCATCTTAACACTTTTTAATGCACAGTGCTTATTTTTATTATTTATTTATTTTTTTTTTACACTTTGACTTGCTTTGTGTATGAACTGTCAGCGCACGTATAGGAACTTGTCTTGCCTATTATGCACCTCTTTCTAATGTTTTGTTTTGATCACCTTACCACTGTCGCTATTTCCAAACAAGTATTTATTTTAGTGACGACATGAGAGCTATTGTCAGCCAATCACCTCCTCCTGTTTCCATCTGTAGTATGAGCTCCTGTACACATTCAATCTGCGACACAGACCTCCATCCATGACGCGAGCTTACACCACAGACACGGCTCTGAATGAATGATGAATGAATGGAGGATGAATGAATGAAACACCGGTCATGTTTAAGTCCCGATCACAGCAGATGCGGCTGTTTGTAAATCCGCGCGGCTTTGATCCACAAACACCCGGGAGTCCTGCACAGACACGCCCAGCTGCATGCACACACAGCCCGGGCAGAGATGGAACACAAGACCCCCCCCAACCCTCTCCCTCTCTCCCGGTGCAAGTGCGTCCGCCCCTCGGAGCCCCCTGTCCCCGCTACGGTCCTTACCTCAAGCCCCGAGGAGGAGCGCGCTTCTTCCGCTCGCCATCGCCGTCTGCCATCGGCCCGAGTGGGGAGAGAGGGAGCGACACCTGGAGATGGAGAGGGGAGGGGAGGGAGGGGGGAGGATGAGAGGAGGTGGGGGTACAGATCTACAACAATATTAATAACACTTTTGCCACGTTTTTCCTGAATCCAATTATCGTCTGTATCACGCTGACAGGGTTGCTGTAAGCTGGGAGAGAATATACAAATTTGCAAAGATATTAAAATAACATATAGGTCTATGGAGCTGTGAAGTGGGCGGAGCGTGTACATTCAGTTAGAATAATAATTATTTTTTTATTGCCATTGTAAGTAACAGGAAGCCACAAATTAGATTCGTTTTGGCCCAATGTGCAAAAACGTTCTCGAAATAAAAATAGACAAAAGGCATGCATAACAATATCTTCATAACATTTATTAAAATGACTACCAGGGTTGATGAAGCTTTGTGAAGTGTTGAACCTTTCCATCCGTCTGGTTCGAGAAAAGGTTAATTTTCTTAATGTAGTGAAGAGGAGTGCACTGACCACTATATGGAGAAACTAAACAAACTCTACAGAAACAACTTTACCAACATTGTACAGAAAGGGCCACAATCGGCTGTATACTCTTCATCTCAAGGACACGTATGGGGTAAGGTTACTGTCAATAAAGACGTGCATGTCTAAAGCAAATGCGTGGATATTTATTGGTATTTGTGCATAAACATATGTTATTCATTCATGATTAAGATAATACAAACTAAAAAGACATGGACATTTGTAATTAAGAATAATAAAATATAAAACTGTATGCGTGATTTCGTACTTGTGAATAATGTTTTTGTGTGCTTGCATTTTCTTCTTTGAGAACACGAATTTCAGCAGTGAGCAAACTGTCGATATGACGTCACTGCTCACAGACATTAACAATCGAGCCTGCGCAGAAACGATCAACTTCATTGCCCCAAAACTAAACATGGCAGAGGGACACAACATTAACAACGTGGCTCAAAATCAGGTATGTAACTATATTTTATCATTTCGGTCGTAAATTAATGTGTAAGAAATATTAATTCCATAAATGTGTTCATAAGAAGATGTTTGTTGTCCTTCTCTAGAAACGTTTTTTTGGCGGTGTTTAGTTAACCTTAGCTTCAATGCTAGTTTTATTTTTTTATTCTTGTTTTATTCTACAGATAACAATGCATTTATTTTAGTCCAAACAAGTAATGTGTCAAATATACTCACAAATATAAGATTGAGGCCCACAGGGTGCACAGGGTCTGCTACGTCTAACAACCAAGGATGAATACAGCACGGAGGTGAACTTCATATTGCTCAGGGGCAGTAACAGCGCGAACTATGAATAATCTGGAAGGTTTGGGCTGGTATCAACACATTAACCACATTGATTAGGGGCCAAGGCCTCATCAAATGTAAATGCTAACAATGTAAACATGTTGGTTTTAAAATAACATGGTAGGGGTTAGGGTAAAACTAGCATTGAAGCTAGTGTTAACTAAACACTGCCTAAAAAAACGTTCCTAGAGAGGGACAAGAAACATCTTCTTATGAATATATCTTATGGAATTAATATTTCTTACACATTTATTTTTGACCAAAATGATCAAATATAGTTATTTACCTGATTTTGAGCCAAATTGTTAATGTTGTTGCCTCTGCCATGATCAACTCTGCGCAGGCTCAATTGTTAATGTCTGTGAGCAGTGACGTCATATTGACAGTTTGCTCACTGCTGAAATTCGTATTCTCAAAGAAGAAAATGCAAGCACAAAAAAAAAAATCGTATTCACAAGTACTTAACGGGCCAAAAAATGTGTTCTGCTGGAGCAATCCAAAATCTCATTCATTTGAACGAGAGACTTCAAAAATTCACAGCAAGTAAAGTAGAGTGGACCAAAAAAAATCCCCCCCCCCCCCTCAGCATTGACACACATGTGGAACGGAGCTTTGGGCCAAGAGCCAACTTTTGGTCCATCCTGTAAAAACCGAGTTGGGACCCGCCCCCACTGATGTGAACAGAGCAATCGCTTGCTGCCCGCGCAAAGCTTGCACTTCACGTTTTTATCTTTTTGACTTACAGTATATAGTTAAAATAGTGTGCATATCTCCACCAGTAAAACAAAATCCTCTCCTCTGGCTCTGCCATGTTGCTTTACAAATGAACTCACTCATGTGCTCAACGTGACGTAGGCGCGCAGGCATGCACGCAGCGGTTGTACAGCTTTCTCCTGCTTTCCCGAGGCCGGTGCCGCCGGTAACGAAGTATTTAGGTAGTAGCTGTAATATAAAGAAAAGTATTTTAATAATAACGCATTACACTACTACCTTACTCAAATTGTAATTTTGTTACAGTAAGCATTACACTCAACACTGAACGTATGGCTCCTCCGCGCACACATACTGCTGTTATATAAAGTATCTGGAAGGTATCTGGACACAGAGATGCTGCAGAGCTGCATTATCGGAGAACAACTTTACACAAAAAGCCGCTAGCTTAATTCCGTTAGCATCAAAGCACTTCCGTTACTTCCACGGTGCCACCGCAGCCCAATACTTCTGGTCAGCACACCCCTAGCCTCTGAAATGTGCGTCTACTACGCATGGAAACTGCGTTCCATGATGGCACCCGTGTACTTCTACTACTCGCTGCCATCTTTGTTTTGAGTCCGACACTCATCAATTAAGTGGTACAGGGCTGAACTAAATGATAAAGCAAGTGTGAAGGAAATGCTTAATCATGCATGTATGGAAGTCGGAGTGGATTTTCAACTTTGGTTAAATAAAAAAAATGAATAGCAGCACCAACAGCGCCACCCAGGGCCAGTGCCATGAAAACATATGAACTGGACTTATTGGATAGAATAAAGCGCACGGGGCCGTGGACATTGATGAGACGTGAAACAGTGAAACTGTACAAAAATATTTATTTTATTACAAAACACACCATAGGCCTATAGGAATGGGTCAAAAGGGTTAAACAGCTTTAAATTGCAGGAGGACAAATTAAGCGAGCAAAATAATGCAAAAACTCAACTTAAGGGAAGCAAATAAAGTTAACAGTAAAACATGCAAACAAATGGCATATAAAGCAAAGCAAAACACGCAGCAAACACAAACGTTAAATGAAGGCAAATCAAACAAAAAGAAAAACACACAAAATAAATCACGAAACAAGGGGATTAACCGAGGGAATTGCACGAAAGAGCTGTTAAAATGTCCTTTCCAGTAAATGTGAGCCTGTCTCACATTTCATGGAAGGCTGTTCCAGACTAGCTGATCAGCCCTCCATGCTGATTTGTGAATCAACATGGAGGGCTTACAAGACTCCTGTAGCCCCTGCTGGTTTATGAGGTCCCCCTTTCAAAAGTAGAACTTATGGAAATTTGTTAAAGCTCCATTAAACTTCATAAACTTGTAAAGGTGTCCCTAAATGCATTGAAATGACTCTCACTTACAGGACACTTCCTGCTCAGTGAGGTTGGGAGGCTGGGAACACCTCAGCCTATCCACTCTTGCCACTAACTTACTCCTCAAGGTTATTATTGTTTTTGGCCTTTGATTTGGAGAAAGTGAATAAACCTCCAAAAGGCAATGGTTTCCCGCTGCCAAGTGGGAGACAATCTTCAACAAAGTGGATTTTCTCCTCTAGTTCAGCCTGGTTTGTCTCTGAGCCTTCACCAATCCAAACAACGTTTTCTTGACACTCCTGCTCATTAAGAAATTGGCGGAAAAGTCTAGCATCACTGACGTAAAAGACCTCTCCAGTTTGGTTAAGGGTACATTTAAGCCCTGCACCACCTCTGGAGAGAAAGTCTTCCGCAGTGATGACTTTTTCTTGTGGTGGAGGCTTGTTCACCTCTTGTCTTCTCGGTGGCTTTGCCCACCTGGCTGGATCCAGTAGCATACCTCTCCTGAATCCAATACATCCAGGCCTCCTTATGGGCCGAACTTTAGGCTCTGAACATTCTTTAGCGCCTTTTAGATTTTGCTCACTGAGAAATTTCCGGAAGAGTCTTGCATCACTGACATAAAATGACTCTCCAGTTTTGGAAGCCGTGCACTTGATGCCTCTACCACCGGCAGAAAAAATCTCTTCTACATTGATTTGATGTTTTGCTGGGGGCTCGATTAGCGGCTGTACCATGTTTCGACTTTGCTTTTCAACTTCTGTCTGTTTGTCTTTGTGAAGCTTATGCTTAGCCGCTAGTAGCAGCAAGTCCTTATCTATCTTATCTAGTGACACATCTAACTCTGTTTCAATGTGTCTTTGCTCTTCTTGAACTTTGGCGTTTTCTGATGCATTCTGGGTAAGACAACTTGTCTCACCCTCTTGACTGAGAGGAGTCTGTTTAAGACGTGGAAGTGTCTCCCTCATCTCCTCCTCGCTCAGTGGAGGCTGTCCAAACCTCTGACTTAGGCTGTTGAACCTGTCCATAAAAACATTTGTCCGTGCATTTTCCTGCTGCATCCACTGGAGTCTCTCCTGAATGTGTTGCTGGTTCTTGTTCAATGCATCGAGTCGGGCCTGCACTAACGCTTTCTCTTTTAAAGCTAGCTGCTCTTGCAGGTTGCTCTCCCGAAGTGTTAGCTTTGCCTTCTCTTCTAACTTATCTGAGAGATCCATGCTTTCCGTCAGCGCATTTTCTATGCATTTTTCACAAATGGTTGCTTGCTCCTGCTCTAAGGAAGTTATTTTGGCCTTCAAAGTGAAAATCCTGTTTTTCTGAAACTGGATTTCATTCTGTGAGGCCTCTCCCCTTTGGAACCATGCATCCTTTTGAAGCCATTGACTTCTACGGCACTCCAAGTGCAATCTTCTTTCACAGAACTGCTCCTGAAGCTCGTATAAGTCCGGGCACTCGCCGGAATCTTCTTCCAGCTTTCTCTCCATAGACCGCAACAACCCCTTCACATGGATATGAAAGGATTTCTCCTTCAGGAACCAAGCCTCCTCAGACTTCCTCCATGGGTGGTCTCCTCCAAGATCCTCAGCAGTCAGGCAGGTTTCTAGTTTCTCCTGCCAGAGCTGCTCTGATTGGGCATGCTCTCTCTCAGCCTGTCTCCACTTCAAGAGCAAAGCCT